AAGATATCGGTATCGGTATTTTTAGTACTCTGTACTGAGATTATACTTTATATTTTTTTCCAAAATAATTCATTCAACACAATCACCAGAGCCATTTGAAGTTGTATAGACTTGTTATATTTTAGGGTGAAGAGTGTATCTTAGGTATCTTAGTCTTTACCATAGTTTACTAAATCGCACCCGTTTGATGTAATAAGGCCATATCAGCAAAATTACAACTTTCCAAGAGGAAGGCTTAAAGTTCTGTAGGGGCCAATACTACGCTATAGTATTGACGCCTAATTGTTTAAATAGATAGATAAGTTAAGTTGTAAAAGAATTCATGGTAAAGATACTAGCTAGTTGAGGCTATGTATCTCTTACGTTATAGTTAAGTTGATAAATGTCTAAATTGATTGAATGTTCGTTAAACACTGATTTAATTGCCTACTAATGCGCACAAGTAAACAAACGGCCGCGGAAGTAGATGCAAAGTAAGCGGAACTAAAATGTGCGGATGTAATCCGTACAGATTCTACGAACGAAAAAAATCGATAAATTTTTATGATTAGAGAGAATAATAAAATTGCACACATACATTTTTTTTTCATGAAGTTCGTTTTATTTTTGTGACTTTTATTTAGCTTCATTTCTACCAAGGGTTCGAAATAAAAAAAACATACCACAATGCGCGTTTAGCCTAAAGTTCATAAAAATCCATTGTTATCTAAACATCTTGTAGTCATCCTGTAACAAATAGAAATAAATATCTTAGTTTACAAAAAATATCTCTCTCAAACAAGCCAGACAAAAAAGAGGTTCCTCGACGCACAGAGAATACCTGGAGAAGCTTTTGGTCAATGAAAAATATGACGAAGGGGAAATTACCACTATCCCTCAAAAGAAAGCTCATGGACGTGCACGTGCTCCCAGACCATACTAACGGTGCTCAAACTTGGTCTTTGACGAATCGTCAGAGGTTCGAACTTGGGGTATGTCAGCGAGGCATGGAGCGCTATATCTCTTAAGTATAACTGTCAGACCTTAGGGTACACGAGAAGGACACTATAACCTGTGCGTACAAAGGAATCTTCTAACTTCAGGTTCTGATCCCAGATCAGTCAGTGTACAGGGGTTGTCACAGGCCGTCGTCACTGACGCAGGTGCAGTACATAGGGTGCACTATAAGTTTCCGGAACTGGCCACTTACATAAACTATATTTAAAAAGTAATTACAATATTTGAAAATGGAACTCTTTGGCTGTAGAATACAGTTTGTTTCATTTGACTATTACTTGTTTTTACATTGTGGCGTCATTTTACAAATTGGTTGTCTACATCACCATGGGTTTAACTCGTGAAAATTTTCTACGAATTTAAGCGTAATTTAACAGCTCAGCGAAGTTTTGCTCGACTCCAAGCTGCTTTTGGCGATGAAGCACCATGCAAGACGACTATTTATAGCTGGTTTGCAGAATTCAAACGCGGGTGTGTGAATCTCAGTGACGAATTTCGGGATGGTCGCCCGTCCACTGCTGTGAAGAACAAAAACATCGATACTGTGCGATATACGATCAAAACAGTCAGGCATGTGACATACCATGAGGTTCGGGCATCTTTAGGCATATAGGCATGAGTCAAATACAATCAATACTACACAAACATTTGGGTGTGAAAAAGCTGTGCTCTCGGTGGATCCCGTCACTTGGTGCAATGCCATGCTTACCAGATTCAACGAAAGGGCGCCAAATTTGGTGTGGGACATAGTAACAGGTGACGAAACATGGATTTATAGTTACGATCCTAAAACAACGCAGCAATCGAGCGTATGGGTCTTTCGAAATGAGCCGAAACCAATCAAAGTGGCGCACGTGCAAAGTGCCTCTAAGCGGATGATTGCTTCTTTTTTTAATAAAACGGGACACGTGGCTACTATTGCTTTGGAGAATCGTTATACCGTGTATAGTGATTGGTGCACGACTATTTGCCGTTACTTGCAAGTTTGCCGTAAGTTATTGACAAATTCCGTAAAAATACCAGAAAACGCCGTATCATCTTGCACCACGATAATGCCAGTTCTCACACGGCCAAACAGACAAATGAATTTTTGAAGGTGAACAACGTTAACCTTATGAGCCATCCCGCGTGCAGTCCCGACCTGGCTCCGTGTGACTTTTATTTATTTCCAAAAATTAAGAACCAGTTACGCGGTCAACGATTTTCATCACCTGAAGAGGCTGCCAAAGAGTATGAAAAATATGTTTCAGAGATTGTCACGGAGGTGTGGCAAAAATGTTTGCAAAATTGGTTCGTTCGTACGAAAAAGTACATTAACTCTAATGGAGAATACTTTGAGTAACAATAAATTCATGGGAACACTTGTAACGCTTTCATTTGCTAATTTCATGTTTTGTATTGTACCAAATTGTACTATGTCGTTATTGCAGCTCTTTTCTACGAGTATATAGATATGTACAACGTAAATTTTAACCATAGTACCATAAGCTTTGGAAAATTTTAAGGATTGCGTCATCAAAATTTCAAATTTACGTTTCACGTGACGTTTTCTTAGGCTTATTTAGCTTTATATTTTATTTTCCAATAATAAGTAAACGTCACAGCCTTCAGCTTTATTACATAAATTCTTTTATATATATATATATATTTTTTTTTTTAAACATTTTAAACTGCAACTCCGTTCTGTTCGCACCACCGGCAATTGCTACTCGTAGGTGCTTCCCTAATTCTCTTTTACCGTCTTTTTAACGGAGGCACAAGGATTGTTCCTACTAATTGGTTGTCCGTTGCAGGAGTTACCTTCAGATTAAACTATCGTCGTGTTGGAAAACTACTTTCGGGTTGGAAAGCCACCTTTGCTGAGCTTCCTTCAGGTTCATACACCTGGAGCTTGACTACGTCCGGACTAGGACGAAGCCTTTGCTCTGAATGGCTACCAATTGCTGCTCGTCATGTGGCCCTTCTTCTGCGCCGGCAAATATACAGGGGAGTACCATACTCGGAAGCGGAAAATACGGAAATAATTACGCTGTTTTTCATAAATCAAAAGTGACAAGAAAAGTATATCGGTCATTGTCATTAAAATTTCAGCAAAAGTAATAAATTTCATTATACATTGTAATATAAATATCAAATAAGACGATGTTCAGGTAATAAAAGTAATAGTGCGAGGTTTATATTTTCACACGAAACCTAGGCGTTAGATGAGATGAGTTTACCTGATTAAAGTACCACCACTTGCGACCGAAAAATAGAGCTGCTCCGGAAGGTCCCTGGTTGGAAAATTTCGGAGCCATTGGATTAACATTCATGTGATCGCCATCCATCTAAAAATAAATCACACTGTTTTCATTCATAATTATTTGTATGTGAATAAAAATACAATTTTTTGTTTAAAATATTACGACTAAGTAGATGCGTAGTTTATGTTAGAACTTTATGTTACTATAAAAATTTCACTTTAATATATCACACATCGGCTTCAATAGTATCACAATAATATATAGAATAGAATAGAATAGAAACCATTTATTGCGACGGCACATAACAAGAAACAAGCACAAAAAGTAATATGAATGAAAAAATAAATAAATAAATAAAGTAAAATAAA